CTGCAGTTGCTGCCACTGCCAGCATTGCTGGAGCCCCAACTCAGTACCCACCAGGACGGGGGACCCCACCCACTCCTGTGGGCCGAGCAACACCACCTCCCGGTAAGGAAATGATACAGAAGTAAGAGAATTGGGCGCATATATATATATATATATATATATATATATATATGTATATATATATAGTTATGTGGAAAAATATATTATCTGGAGGAAGTGAGGACTAAAAATACTCTTAAGAAGACACTGAACTAAGGAATAGCCTAAGTACCTAACTAGTTGCTTAGATTATGTTTCCCACTTTTAAACAGTAGTTTTTAATGAAAAGATATGGACTCTATTGTTGGGTATGGCTTACATGGTAATGGTCCAGGAGAAATTGTTCAACCTTTTACTTAGTATCTGGGCCCATTTCTTTAAATAATATCTTGTATTTTATTCTGTCATCTTAGCTGAGCTTATTTATGAGGACTTTATCTCTGCCATTTTTCTTCTCCAGGCATTATGGCTCCTCCACCTGGTATGAGACCACCCATGGGCCCACCAATTGGGCTTCCCCCTGCTCGAGGGACGCCAATAGGCATGCCCCCTCCAGGAATGAGACCCCCTCCACCAGGAATTAGAGGTGAGTGGCTACACTTTTGTGCAGTGGTGCCAGCTGGGCCCCTTAATACTTACGTGATGTTTTTCTAATGGTCCCATGGAATTTTGCTTTTTTTTTTTCCCCCCAGGTCCACCTCCCCCAGGAATGCGTCCACCAAGACCCTAGGATACTGTTGATCCTTCCTAAGTCACCCTTTTCCCTGCAATGTGTCTTGTGAAATTGTGTAGAGTGTTTGTGAGCTATTGTTTCCTCCTTGCTGCATTAATATTAGCTAATAAATGCACAGAGCAATTAAACTGCGAGGTACTGTTGTATGTTGTACAATTTTTTGCCTGTTGATTTTATTGAGATCAAAGTGAAGACTGGGATTTTCTGGTCTTGAAGTTATTATGGACTAGGTGAATTCTGTTAAACAATGCATTTAAATAATTTTCTCTTTAATTCTTAAGATAAAATGGTTGTGATACCTGATTAAGCTTCCTAACTTTCACTTTGTGCATTGAGTGGTATCAGTCCATAACCTTGACACAAAAGAAAACCCTTAACCAGGGGGTTAAGTGGCTAGGCTAAGCCTCACATAATGGCATCTTCCTCTTTCATACATACCTGAAGGGAAGAAGGGATGGGATGAAAGGCCTTGTAAGGCCACCTATGGAAGGAAACTGTGGTACTGAATCAGACTTTGCTCATTAAATCAAAGCATTTGGAATTGGAGATACTCCTTTTCATGGAAGATTATCTCAGTTGATGAGCTTCTACAGTGCCCTTGTGACTTGTGTGATCAGAATAGATGATATGATCCTGGAATAATCATCACTACCTACCAGTAAGTATTTCCTTATAAATTTTTAAATTAATGGAAGAACCTGGGTACTGGGAGCCAGGGAGATTTTATATTTGGGTAAGTTGTGTTACTTAAAATACAGATAACTTATACCCTAAAATGTAGTTGATACTCTTGAGTACGAATTATCCAATTGCATCACTTAGTGATGTACTGAAAGTGTTTAGAGGAGTGGACGGTATCTTCCAGATGCCCAAATATCTAGGTCCAGTTTGAGTTGGTTATGCAATAGTGATGAACTCACTTTTAAAAGGAAGGGGGAAGAGTTTTTTTAGATTTCACTGCTAAGCTTTCAACTGGGCAATGAATCAATCTTTATTGATTGTAAGAGTAGTTTATAAAATAGGAGTTAAAGATTGGTTTTAACTCCTTAGTAAATTCAGACTAGTAGATTGTGCCGCCTTCTTTGATTTTACCAAAAAAAGGTTGTGTGTATATCACCATGTCCATCTTTTATTTTTTATTTTTTTATTTTTTAGAGATTTTATTTTTAAATAATCTCTATATCCAAAGTGGAGATCCATATCACAGCCCTGAGACTAAGAGTCATATGCTCTACCGAGTGAGCCAGCTAGGTACTCCTTCAATTTCCATCTTTTAAATCATGACCTTTCAACTAATAGTCTCCAAAGGAAAAGGGACCCTCAAAATTACTGCAGTTGTCACCAAATTTATATGGTCTCTCCCAAAGTAGTTTCTAGTCTTGGTGGCCACTATCAGGAAGGGAACATAAAGTAGCCAGGTCCTCCTTGGTTTAGTGGGTTTGTATAAGACAGATGTGATACTTATTTTAGAGACTGTGAATGTTACAATGGAACTTCTTGGTTACTAGAGCCCTAAGCAAAGTACTTTATCAGGATCTCTGAAGGCAAAGCATTTCTGTTAAGATAAAATTGACTCTGATATATATGACTTAGAACTTCTGCTCTAAATTTTGTGGGTGGTATGCAAAGAGCCTTGTTTTATATGCAGTTGGCTCTCTGGACCAACTTTTGAATAATTTATGGTACTTTTTCCCGTTTTTCTTTTCTCTTTTTTTTTTTTGCTTTTTCCTGTTTTTAAAGGAAAACTTTCCTACTTGCATAGATCTGCTGATGTGGATGGTCCTCAGATTTTGGCATGAGTGATTGTGCATCATTTTTTTTAAGATTTTATGTATTTATTTGACAGAGAGAGAGAGAGACATTGAGAGGGAACATAAGCAGGGGGAATGGGAGAGGGAGAAGTAGGCTTCCCACTGAGCAGGGGCCCCGATGGTGGGCTCGATCCCAGGATCCTGGGATCATGACCTGAGCCAAAGGCGTAACAACTGAGCCACCCAGGCACCCCAATTGTGCATCATATTCAAAGAAAACCTATTCTCTCATATTTCCTTAAGTAAAGTGTAAAGTTGAACGCCATTTTCGCACATGACAAGAATAGATTCTGCAAGATGCTTACTTCTAATGGGTGTTTTGATTTGGTGGTAATATTCTCTGCCTAGAACTTCCTTGAATTGTTTGATAACCTTGATTGTGGGAACATATATTGAAAAAATACTTGGCACAGATACTCCTATAATTGCATGTGGAGTGTAAGTTGAATGTGGATCTTTTGTTATAGATTGCTAGATATAAGCTTCTACAGAGTTCCATTGTGAACACATAATAACATAAGAGTTTTCAAACATTCATGGCAGTAAATACTTTTCCCATAGGATTTTTCCCATTCTGCATTCACATGAGTTACACATTATATGTAAAGCACAGTTGGGCAATGACATCTTGATTTCCTGGTCACATTTATTAACAGTAACTTCATGAATTTGCACACCAATATAGGTTTCTCATTGTGGTTCAAATAACAGTTTCAAATAGAATTCTGGGATTTAATAGTTATGTTACCTTAAATCTTTATGGTTTTGAGTTTTTTGTGGTATTTTGTGTTTATATGATCTGATAGGTAAACTGGGACTTAGTATAAAAGTGTGTCAAAAGTGATGTAGCTTCTGCCTTCATAAACTCACTACTCTTCAATCATGTAAAATTTTAGAAGTCCTGTAATTTTTCAGCTTTATCAATATATAATTGATAAATAATTATAATTTTAAGATGTGTTACATGATGATTTACTGTACATCTATATTGTGGAAAGATTACTACAACAAGGTCAGTTAACACTCCAGCAGCTTATATAGTTACCTTTTTTTTGTGGTGAGAACATTTAAGATCTACTCTTGGCAAATTTCAAATATTATAATACAATATTGTTAACTGTAATCACCATGCTGTATATTAGATCCCTTGAACTTACTCATCTTATAATTAATTGTCTATACCCTTTGGAAGAATGAAGGGGGGAAATCGGAGGGGGAGATGAACCATGACAGATGATGGACTCTGAAAAACAAACTGAGGGTTCTAGAGGGGAGGGGGGGTGGGAGGATGGGTTAGCCTGGTGATGGGTATTAAAGAGGGCACCTGTTGCATGGAGCACTGGGTGTTATACACAAAAAATGAATCATGAAACACTACATAAAAAACTAATGATGTAATGTATAGTGATTAACATAGCATAATAAAAAAAACTCTATACCCTTTGATCAGCATCTCCCCATTTTCCACACCCCGTCAGCCCAAGGCAAGCACCATTATAGTCTGTTTCAGTGAGTAACTTTTTCAGGATTCCCATGCAGGTGATAACCAGAAGTCTTTTTCTTTTCTTTCTTTCTTTTTTCGTGGGCAGCAAAGCAAGGTTTTTTTTAATTTAATTTAATTTTATTTTATTTTATTTTATTATGTTATGTTAGTCACCATACAATATATCATTAGTTTTTGATGTAGTGATCCAAGATTCATTGTTTTTGTATAACACCCAGTGCAAGATTTATTGAGCGATAGCAAAGTGGTAGTACAAAGCTCCCAAGGAGGGAGGGAACCCGAGGGAGTTGCCCAAAAGTCTTGTAATTTTTGTAAACTGAACTGATGTTTTATTTCTTGTAGGTCTTAACTTGTAGTAAAATAATAATGTAGTAGAAAGCAACTTATGGAATTATGTGATAATTGTAATGCTTGTCTAGAATTTTCGTAATCTGATTTCAGAGATAAGGAAACCAATTTGTGTTTATTTCCAATAAAACTTAATTGATTTCAGCAAGTAGTTACAGCCTCTGTGAGATTATATGAAGTTTTCAAATACATGTTATCCAGTTGAGTAAGACTTTGGCAATGTATTATCATCTTTGCATTCTAGTTCCCTTGGGACTGGCCATTCATATAATAAAGCTCAATATTTGAATTATAGTACATAAGTAAAGCAAGATATTTTATAATTTTTGTTGTGTTGCAGTTTTTTTAGTCTTATGAAGGTCTTTTTTGTCCACATAGTTGATGACTGTGAAAGGAGGAGAGAATTTGACAACTCAGTTTTCTGACATGTCACTGTGGATCCCACCCAGTAGTGTTACAAGGAAGCTGAAAACGGTGTTAGCTGCATTTAGGACAAACATAAACCACTCCAGGTAAAATAACCTTGTAAAAAAAGTAATAGTGTATTATAGAGGCCTTGGCTAGGTTCATGATGACAAAGGACCTTGTCTGAACATAATGATTTCTAAATTTGAGCTTAAATGACACTCTGAAATCCAGTCAATGTGCCTCAATAGACTTTTCGGGGAACATTATTTTCAACAGAAAATTTGACTTACTGTGAAAACTTTGAATACTTAGAAATGGCAGGTGTAGCCGTATACATTGCCAATTCTTCTTTTTTAAATTTTCATAAGATATTCTGAGCTCATTATTTCCCCCCCCCTTTTTTTTTTTAAACATATATGCTGTTGAAAGCAAAAAAGGAAACTCCTCCTTAGATCCCGGAAGGCACACACATATGCTGAGATGGAAGCAAGGACATGTAAAAGGAGACTACCTCTTTGATCAAACATTGAATGCCAGAGTTGGAGGTGTCTGATGATGTTCAGGAAAAAGGGGAACTAATATTTGTGGAACATGTATTATGAAATACAGTGAGTATGGTAAGTGTCTTTACATGGACACCATTGGTGTTTGAGGACAATTTTTTGGTTTTGTTTTTCTTCAGTTGTCTGCAGTGATCAATGGGCATAGAACCTATCACACAGTAGATGTTTAAGAAATGTGTCAGCATTGCTAATTTTTTTTAAATGTTAGGGTGCAAGTTTTTAGATTTATTATAGTTCCTCCCATGTAGTGGAATGTCTGATTAGAATCTATGCCTATCTAATAATCTAGCTCTACACTCTTAACACAGAAGTGGTCAGCTCTTCCTAAATAGGAGCCAGTCAGAACTATTTGGTGTTTATCTGTACTTGTTGTAGTGAAGCTAGGTACCGTGTTATGAAGTTGACAATGTGTTTGTGGGGATACTTTTTAGTCATTTTTGGTCAAAAAGTAGAAATAAAGTTCTGTTGGATTTTACAGGGGTGAGAGGATCTCTCTTAAGTGAGATGATGAAGGCCCAATAAGAGAGCAGTATTTGAAATCCAGTTCCAAGGATGTGTTTGTTCTAGATGTGAATGTTGATTAACGGCTTCAGGTATTAACGCAGCAAATCCATCTGTGCCAAAAGTGAGTAGACCATGAAGGGGAGCAGCTGGGTGTTGGCTACAGTATACCTCATTTAACTTCTCAAATAATAGATGAGGAAACCTCAAGGGACTTTCTGTGTACTAAAAGGAATGTGCCTTTGGGGCCCTGGTATCTTCTGGTGGCAAGGATGCAGACTGGAAGAAATAGTCCCAGTTTTTCTTCTGCATTCAGTATCACCTCAGTTTTGCTCCAGAATCCATGTTGTTAACTCATGTTTTTTGCCTATAATTTAGGAAGTTCTAATGTGGAACAGTAATAGTAGGAGAAGACTTGACTGGGTTAATTTCCTTTGGTGAGCAAACAGATCAGCCAGATGTTTGGTGATTTTGAATCATTTGTCTTAGATTTACAGTTGATGAGGAGAACACAATGACCCAGAGAGGTTAGATATTTGTACATCTGAAATCATTGGGGTTTCTGTTCCCATATTTTTAAATTTAAATTCAATTAGACAACCTAAGGTACATCATTAGTTTCAGATGTAGAGTTCAGTAATTCATCAGTTTCATATAATACCTAGTGCTCATCACATCACATGCCCTCCTTAATGCCCATCACCCCATCCCCCCACCCACCTCCCCTCCAGCAACCCCCAATTTGTTTCCTGTAGTTAATTACCTATGAGTCTCATGGTTTTTCTCCTTGTTTGATAACTTCCCAGTCAGTTTCCCTCCTTTCCCCTATGATCCTCTGCACTGTTCCTTATATTCCACATATGAGTGAAACCAAATGATAATGGTTTTTCTCTGATTTATTTCACTCAGCATAGTACCCTCCAATTCCATCGACATCGATGTAAGTGGTAATATCTGTTGCCATATTAAATAAAATTTATTTTTACCCCATATAGGTTCTTTTTTCCCCTTTTTTTAAAAAAAAATTTAGGGGTGCCTTGGTGGCTCAGTTGTTAAGCATCTGCCTTGGGCTCAGGTCATAATCCCAGGGTCCTGGGATTTAGCCCCACATCAGTCTCCCTGCTCAGCAGGAAGCATGCTTCTCCCTCTCCCCCTGCTTCTATTCCCTCTTTCGCTGTGTCTCTCTCTGTCAAATAAATAAATAAAATCTTTAAAAAAGTTTTTATTTAAATTATATTTGGGGGCGCCTGGGTGGCTCAGATGGTTAAGCGTCTGCCTTCGGCTCAGGTCATGATCCCAGAGTCCTGGGATCGAGTCCCGCATCGGGCTCCCTGCTCCTTGGGAGCCTGCTTCTCCCTCTGCTTCTCTCTCTCTGTCCCCCCGCCTCTGTCTCTCATGAATGAATAAAATCTTTAAAAAAAATTATATTTGGTTAACATATAATGTAATTTAGATTCCAGTATACAATATTGTGATTCAACATTTCCATACAATACCTGGTGCATCACAAGTGCACCCATCCCCCCCCACCTCCCCTTATTTGTGCTATTATTAACAGAAAGAAAGTTAAAAAGTACAGTTCCTGATAGGAGTAATTTATTGTGTATTAGGAGATCTATATCAGGAAAAGTAGTGTGTGCTCTATTCTTTCCATGATAATTTGGATTATATTACCATATCACTTTGGTTCTTTGTATTAGAGATGTTAGACCTCCTTCAGAATCCTCAACACTGTCTATCAGTGGACTTGTTGGACTTTGTGGGTTTTTTAAAAAAAATTTATTGTTATGTTAATCACCATACAGTACATCATTAGTTTTTGATGTAATGTTCCATGATTCATTGTTTGTGTATAACACCCAGTGCTCCATTCAGTATGTGCCCTCTTTAATACCCATCACCAGGCTAACCCATCCCCCCACCCCCCTCCCCTCTAGAACCCTCAGTTTGTTTTTCAGAGTCCATCACCTCTCATGGTTTGTCTCTCCCTCCGATTTTCCCCCTTCATTCTTCCCCTCCTGCTATCTTCTTTTTTTTTTTTAACATATATTGTATTATTTGTTTCAGACGCACAGATCTGTGATTCAGCAGTCTTGCACAATTCACAGCGCTCACCATAGCACATACCCTCCCCAGTGTCTATCACCCAGCCACCCCATTCCTCCCACCCCCCACCACTCCAGCAGAAATTCTTAATCTCAGGAAACAAACTGAGGGTTCCTGGAGTGGACTTTGTGTTTTATCTATTTGATTTTCCTTAATTTTATTTGACCATTCACAATGATTCTCACTTAGCTCTGGAATATTTTGGTGGATGTTTTAAATGTATCTTCCTTAAGATACTTGAATATTTCATTTTTAAATTTGTTGGATGATTTACTTGTAGAAGTAGATTATAAACAATTATATTTAGTTCTAAGACACCAAAGATCTTAATGTTATTCTGTCACATTGCTGGGGTTTTACTGTCTTTAATTTTTTCCCATATTGTTACCTTAATTCTGTGTCAGTTGAATGATACTGTTGCCATTTAACTTACATTGTTAAATGAAGATGATCATTCATTTTCCCAAGATAAAAGACTTTGCATTAGTAGAGATGTATTGTCTGCAGGTATTAATTTCTTTACAACTACAGTAGTAGTTGTTGGGAAAGACATTAACTAGGTTTATGATGAGTTATAATTACAGAGCATGAAGAAGTGAAGCTCAGTACTCGGAAGTCCATCCTAAGAGTCAGTCTAAGTACTTGGGACACACATATTCTGGACATAAGTTCTTGGCCTGTAAATTTCATGTTATTTGGAGCAATATTGTGCAGATTAGGGAGAATAGAAGTGCGGGTTTTTCCAGTGAGATAAAGGGAAGTGAACTCTAAATTCCACTACTGCAGTTTCCATGTAGAGTATCTTCTATGTTTGTAACATTTGTATATCTCACCTGTCTTTTTCATTATGCATTTCAAGTAATAATTTCAAGAGAGTAAAGACTTGGTAGCTACTATGCTTTTTTTTTTTTTATATTAACTGTCATCATTCAGGTCTAACCTTATACCTGTTTCCCAAGAGCATGTCCCCAAACTATGAGGCAGCTCCAATTCCCATATGAATTAAGAAATAGCTAGTTTAGGGGCGCCTGGGTGGCTCAGATGGTTAAGCGTCTGCCTTCGGCTCAGGTCATGATCCCAGGGTCCTGGGATCAAGTCCCGCATCGGGCTCCCTGCTCCTTGGGAGCCTGCTTCTCCCTCTGCCTCTGTCTCTCTCTCTCTCTCTGTCTCTCATGAATAAATAAATAAATAAATCTTTAAAAAAAAAAAAAGAAATAGCTAGTTTATTGTTGAGATATTGCTTTGGTCTGAAATGAGAGTTATACCTTAAGCAGAGTGTTAAAATTACATCAGATGGATTACTATAATTCTGTTAATAAGGTACTGTTTTCTGTATGAATTTCTTAGCAATTCATAGATGGAGATGTAGAAGTTTTGACTGATTCAAGGGGATGAAAATGGCATTTTGCAGTTGTTAATATTGAGCCCTAGAGAGGAACTAATTTGCTAAGTACCGTGCATTTTCTTTTGAATCAGGACTTTAATCTCCCATTATTCTTTATTATTTATCTTTACTTGAATGAGTAATGGACCTTTTGTTATCTGTGATTGGCATTCTATGATTAGGTCCTTTGGATTTGCTTATTTTAATTATGAGGGAGTTGAATAGTAATTAAACAGGTAATAAGGGAAAAACCTATAGAAATGTACCATGGATAGTTGAATACACCAGGATCTTATTCTTAAAAAGTTATCTTAATTTGTTAAGGAGTATGTGTGGTGTGTGTGTATATAATGTGGGTATTGATACTATGACAAGTGATAGTTTATAGAGAAAAGCTTTTGAGGTTCAGAAAAATTACTCTCCCTTTTTTTTTTTTTTTAAGGAGCAAGGGGAGTAAGTCTTTTCACAGGTATTTCCCTTATTAAGTCTCTGTTCCTTAAATAAATTTTAGGATATTTATAACCTCATATTTGTTTGACCTCTCTCAGTGTTCCTGATTCTGCACAAATAGGGATATGCTGGATGAATTGAGAGAAATGAGCTACCCTTTCTACTAACTGATTTAGATTAGAAACATAACATTTTGGATAAGGAAGGAAGGAAATATACATTGGAGTCTGTTGAGGAGTAGTGTTGACTTGGTCATTTGATCTTGGATGTTTGGTACAGCATGGGGTCGTCAGTTATTATTACTGTGAGAAAGCATGCAGTGGTATTTGCTGGCTCAGCCCTGTCCAAATAACCTCATTCTTTCTTTTCTTTCTTTTTCTTTTCTTTTTCTTTTCTTTTCTTTTCTTTTCTTTTCTTTCTTTTCTTTTCTATTGGAGAGAGAGCGAGCAAGCACAAGCAGGAGGGAGAGAGGGAGAATCTGAAGCAGACTCCACACTGAGTGCAGAGCCCGATGTGGGGCTCAATCCTACAACCCTGAGTTTAGGACCTGAGCCGAAATCAAGAGTAGGCTTCTTAGTGGATTGTGTCACCTGGGTGCCCCCAGATAACCCCATTCTTGGGGTGCTGCTTCTTTATAAGTGATCTAAAGAAAATCCCCTATAATAGGAATCCCTGGAGGATGATTAGTTTTTCAGTTTTTATTTTCTTTTGGGGCGGGTGGCTTGATGATCAGATTCATTGTTTCTTGAACCTGATAACAGTGTTCATTCCTAAAAGAGAATGTGGGGTTCAGCCAAGCTAATTTATGATAGGAGTGCTTTGTTGAGAGAGTATTAGAAGGAATGAGTTAGCAGTAGGTGGTGAGAGCATTGTTGAATGAAAGGAAGGTAAGAAGGAAAAAAGACAAGGTTTAGGTGATTATAGCATGTCCTTAGTGTTGTAGAAGTGTGATGGAGACCTGTAAATTGAGAGCAGTGTTAGGATTCTTTCAATTGTTGGAAATAGGAAAGCTCCCCTGTTTGAATATTTTACCAGTCGGGGTAGGTTAGGAGTCAGAATTAACTACCATTTACCATCTCCTTTGTCGTTAACTTGAGTGTATGGGTGTCAGCCAGCTTTGGAATGTTAGATTCTATGTGCCTTTTCTTGAGATGACTAGGCAGTATTATGTCCTCTGTTAAAATTACATTGATTAGTAAGATGTGCTGATCAAATATCTGTTCATTATACAATTTACTGGAATGGGTAGAGTTGTATATTTCTAGGCAACTTAGATTAAATCAAACTTTCTCCAACTTTAGTACACTTTAAGAGTCACCAGGAAGTTGGGGCACCTGGGCAGCTCAGTTGTTTAGGTGTCTGCCTTCTGCTCAAGACATCATCCCAGGGTCCTGGGGTCAAGCCCCATGTCAGGCCCTCTGTTCAGCAGAGAGTCTGCTGCTTCTTCTCCCTCTCCCCCCCAGCGTGGGCTCTCTCTCTCTCTCTCACTCACTCTCTCTCAAATAAATAAATAAATAATTTAAAAAAAATAAAAGAGTCACCAGGAGGGCTTGTGCAGTTTGAGTGTGAGTTTTTGGATCAACAGTAGGTCTAGGTCTGAGAAGTTGACAGATGCTGATTTCAGCACCATATGTTGAAAAAAACTGGGTTTTATTCAGAGAACAAAATGCCAGCATATATTTAAATTATGTACTTCAATTTATTTTTGATAATGAATCAACTACACAAATTTTCACCAAGTTCACATTCAGTAAAATGACCAATAAACAAAAATTTATAAAAAAACATAATGTTTTTTTTTTTTTTAAAGTAGATGTGATCTCAGTGAATAGTGTGATTTCCAGGACATGGTAATTTCTGTATAACGATTCTACGTTTGGGGCAAGGTTTATCTGGTTTTGTTCTATTAGTCACAAAACAACATTACTTGAATTACTTTGCATTTGAGCATATGTTTGTGTTTTTTAAGATTTGATTTTTAAGTAATCTCTACACCCAGTATGAAGCTCAAACTTATAATTATCACAGAGATCAAGAGTTACACGCTCTAGTGATTAAGACAGCCAGGTGGCCTTATTTTGTTTTATTTTAAGCATCCACTTCTGGATCATTTTAAGTATTAGGCCAGAAACTGGCAATAGCAATGGATTTCTGGGTGTTGAATTTGGGATTGAGTCTGTTTTCTGGGGAAATTTCAACCACTGTGTTACAGTTTGGCTGTGAATACTGTGGTGGCTCTATTTGGTTATTGAAATCTAGTGCTGTTTTTTAATGATGCTTCTTTATGGGAATAGTCTTACAATGCACTGTCTACTTCTACTTATAAACAACAAAAATCAGCCTAGGATTTCTCCAGGATTGAAAGTGCTGAAGAATATAGATATAGTTGAAATCAGAGTCACACACCCATGCTGTAGCAAATAAGGAACCCACAATTGAAATGAGGGGACTTTTTTCCTGTGGCTTCGAGTGAGTAAAATAAATTACAGAGGACTTTTTAATACTGTAACTTATGATTTCTGAAAATAAGGTATTGAAGTGAAACTGGTGTTCTTATTTTTGAAGGATGACACAACATTTGGGGCATTGTATTTTTCTTAATTTACATTTTATTACCTTCTCTAGTGAGCTTTTCTGGACAATGGCTTTGTATTTTAGATAGATGGGGTGTTTTCTCTTTTTTTTAAGATTTTGTCTATTTATTTGTCAGAGAGAGAGAGAGATAATGAGCACAAGCAGGGAGAGAAACAGGCAGAAGGAGAAGCAGGCTTCCTGCTGAGCAAAGAGCCCGATGCAGGACTCAGTCCCAGAACACTGGGATCATGAGGGGAGCCAAATGCAGACACTTAACTGACTGAGCCATCCAGGTGTCCCAGATAGGGTGTTTTCTCAATTGAGTGAATCATGGCCCTAAGTGATATCAAAGTAACAATAGAAATATTGGCTTCCTCTAATAATCTTTCATGATTATAACATGAAAGATTTGTAAAAGTGGTTACAAAAAGGCATAGACTTAATTCTTCCTTTATAGGGAGAACAAAACATTAATAATTGGAATCTAGGAGGAGTTTGAATAGTTAGCAATTTTTGTTATATTGGTATATTGTTAACAGAGTTATTGGTGGATGGGCGCCTGGGTGGCTCAGTTGGTTAAGCAACTGCCTTCGGCTCAGGTCATGATCCTGGAGTCCTGGGATCGAGTCCCACATCGGGCTCCCTGCTCAGCAGGGAGTCTGCTTCTCCCTCTGACCCTCTCCCCTCTCATGCTCGCTCTCTCTCTCTCATTCTCTCTCTCAAATAAATAATAAATAAAAAATCTTAAAAAAACACAGTTATTGGTGGAATCAATACATAACTGAACAAAAGGCATAACAAATTTCCTTATGGTATAGGCAAAGCTTGGCTTCAGTTTAAAGCTCAAATTTCTCATTCTTTGTAATTTCTTGAGTCATGAAACATGGACATTTTATTGTGCCACATTGCTGGGGGTACAAAATTAAGTGATACTGTCTTGAAGTCAACTTGCCCATTCTGTCATTTAGAGAGTGCCAAATTTTAATTTGGGGACTTGATGGAAAGGGAAAAGGGTGTCCCTTAAGGTTGTCTACCCTTATTGGATATTTCTGTCTGTTTCAGGATAGCTCACAGGAGAATAAATCTTCCATGTTTAAATATTTTAAAAAGCACGTGTTCAGTTGAACTTAACCCTTTGTGTAAATCTCTTAGAAATCTAGAGACATTGTTTAGGATTTATGACAGTTTACTTGTCAGTAGGTAATAGAGTACTTGGTCACATAAAAAGATGTGAAAATGTGTCATTATTTAGGTTGGCAAAATATATTGGTTATTTATTCTCTTGTTTTTTGTAATGTACATAAACATCTGTACAACTCTAAAAGAAAAGACTTGGAACAATTGTATTCAAAATGACAAAAACATGTACAGATAATTCAAAGAAGAAAATACAGCCAAGTAAAATGAAATATCTAAAAATAACTTACAAACATCCTTAAAAATCATTGATACATTTGTTTATCAGTTTTACATAGATGTAAAAAGGCTATGCCAGCTCAGTCAGGAAGTGGCTGTCATTCATGGACATGAATGGAGCCTAAGAAACATGGACAAGTATTTCATCCAGACACTTAGAAAATTTATTGGACAGTAGATTCTGTACAACAAACTCCGTTAGATGGTTGTTCTGGAGCTGCCTTTCTAGATTAGTTTTGTTGTTATTGTTGTCTTTTAACTGTATTAAAACTTCTAACTGGTCCCCTTACTTCTAGCTTCAGATTCTCTGTTCCATCTGTCTGCCAGAGCAGTCTTTTGGAAAGATATGAAAAACCTCGTCACGTTGCTTCAAAATCTGCAGTTGACATGTTTCAAGAGCGTTAGAAATAAGCAATAATCAGAGAAGAGGACAAAGATTATATAGATTGATAATATTTAGAGCATCTTTGCCACTGACAAAACTGGAAGTTTTCCACTTTTAGTCACTGAACATTTGGATTCATAAATTTTGTGACATTCCTTTACTTTTATCTCCTGAATAAGATGCTCCTGATAAGAACCTGGAGAAATTTGTACAGCAAGAAAAAATGTGATTAAAATCCAGGATGATATAGGATAATGTGCAAACCTTTTTTCCATTAACATGAACAGGAAAGGATAGCCTGATTCCCTCTGCATTGATAAAATTGTAGTTTTCAAATTCTTCTGGAGAATCCTTTGCAATTTTACTTATGGACTGCTGTGGAAGTCTAAACCTGACGCTGATTTAAGGGGTCATTGACCAGGACCCTCCTGTAGAGACACTCTAGCTCTTATACCCTATTTATTTCGTGGTCCAACATGATCAGCACAGCATCCCTCATTCCAAATTATTCCCAAAAATGCAAGTGTGTGAAGATATCTACTGAACTGAAAATTATTTCAAGTGGATGGCACTTGTAGTATTGGTCTAGTGTGGACAATCTCAAGTAAATATAAGCCAGCCTTCTAGAAATATGTGGAAAGAAGGGGAAGGACAACACATCCTGAATTCAGCTAGAAGCTTCACCAACTACAAAAAATCACAGACAAAATAAACAGAGATATATACTGTCCTGAAATTCATCTCCCTTTCAAATATTTATATTTCATTGGCAGTCTTTGCATTTGGAAAAAATATCTCAATATTTTTCTTTGTATAGTTATCAACTTGCCATCAAAATATTTACCAGTAGGAGCCCTGCATATGTGATATTTATTGCCTATGTGGTAAACACAAATATTAGTTTTCTTTTTTTTTCTTCCCCTACCTGCCATTTTAAAACAGCTAGGAACCTAATCTATTAACTAATTTACTGGACATATATAGCTTAAGAATTTATTTAAATACTTAAGAAAATTGTGATTGGGTAATGATACTGAAATGGAAATATAAAATACTCAGTAAATGATGACTATGCATGGACTGTTCATTGGATGTTTGGAGGTGAAGAGAATGAAATTCAACATGTAATAGTTTTTTATTGTATTTTATTCTTAATCTTTTTGGGAATCTAATGCTCAAGCAGAGAGGCCTACATTTATAAACAAATCTATTGTTTTTAGATACTTTTAAAAATGGTTTCTGTGATAATAGAGCTGGTTTTGTAGGGAAGTTTCTAAAAACATGTTTGGTAAAACTGCCTTCTGGAAAATATTTTAGAAAAGAATGGGCCATTTTGCAAAGATATCCTCAATTCTGTATTTATTGTTTGAGTGCTTATGGATAGTAAAGAGGAAATGGGCATGGGGAGTGTTTACTATATTAATCAGGAAAAAAATGTAAGACACTAGTTATTTATGTGCATTTTGAGAATATTGTATACGAAATAACCAAATATAACTGCTTTGTGACCATAAGGCATTGTGATTGCTAAGAAAGCGGTTGCTAACATATGCAGAAGAAATATTTTTAATACATGACTATAGAAATAGAAGTTACCTCTGAATGATGCACATTTAAAATCATTTGATTGGATTATTGCTATGGCTTTTTGGGGGGGGGTTGGAGATTGTTCTGTGTGCAGTTGTCACATAAGAAATTTCATTAAGGCTGCTATATGTGGATGTAGATGTTACTCTGTAAACGTTCTTTATGTTAATATTTGTATGGTATGAGATTTAATTCTCATGATGGAATTGCTGCATAAGAGGCCAGCCTCTGTGCATGTTTGGGCTAGGATTTGATGGGCTTTTTTATTTCTCTGCATATAATAGAAAAAAGTACTGTGTTAAAACATCTTATAAAGCACGGTGATGGCCGACATTTAGGGCATTTTAATATCAGAATATAATTTTGTTGGTTACTGGGAGGAGTTTCTAGACTGCCTTGTTTGTATTAGACAGATAAAAGCAGAATTTAGAAGTTGGAGAATAGGAAATTTTTGAGGACTATATGTGTATGCATATGTACAGAGATAGTTCTTAAACAGCCAGGCTTTACTCCATGTTCAGATGTTGGGAATCTACCTATATTTTATTAATGTAATGTTAAAGAGGTGTGGGTTTTTGTTAAAGTTTTAATCAGTGGAATTGTTGAATTGCCTCTGAAGATTAATTCCTTTTCAGTAGATATTGTTACAATGTTATATATAATGTAAGTTTTTTTGTTGTTTTTGTTTAACATCACATTCTCTACATAGATAGGCATCACTGTAAATATGTATCACCTTATTAGGATAGATATTTTTATTTCCCAAAAGTGATAATATATCTATCCTCTCTGTGTGTTCATCAGATCTCTAGGCTCAATTTTTAGGTTGTGGTAAATATGTAGTGTTCAGTATAATACCTCATTGTTTTACATAAGATTCATCATGGTGGAAATGTCATTGTAACTGTTGGTCTGCCTCTTATCATGGTTTTCAGATGTTTGTATACAAACAGAAAATACAGTTACTAGATAAATTTTACATGTGGTTAAACATAACAGGTTAGAAAAGTTTTCATGTCAGTGGAATTTGACATTTAATGATAACTGAATTGTTCTTGTTTTAAAATACTTACATCTAGTTATATAGGTGTAGGTGACTATAAGTTTTTATGGAGGATGTTCAAAATTGTTTGTCAAACCTATGGTTATTAAAGAATGGGCTAATCCAAGAAATGTTTTATATAATGTGTATATAATAGACACAGTTACTATGTTTTCTTAAAGCCAAGGAACTATTATATCAGCATGTTTTGTAAATATATTAATTATATATAGAGTGAAAAATTACCAAAACAGTTGTCGGATTATCTCTTAGTAAATAATTGGGCTGCTGAAGTTCAGGGTATTTTGTTAGATTGTTCTGTGTAAAAGGAGAGAAAGATTTATGCGATCTGAGGAGAAACCAGATTAGATTGTTCTGTGTAAAATAGGATATATAATAATGTTTGCTTTAAACTTTTAATCCTTGATTTTATAGGGGTTACTTTCATGTACACCTGTATATATACATGCAGGTGTATTGTATACATGTCTATAAAATAAGTGTTTATTAAAGTTCATAGCAAAGAAACACTGTTGGCAAGTTAAGTATCACTCAGTTTAGTTTGTTCCTTGTGTCCTTTTGTGGTTCATGATACAGGGAGTTTCAGTTTGAGCTTTAGTTGCTGAAGATATTGTTAGATTGCTACTTAAGTTATAGACCGATGTTAGTTTTTGTTTCAGAACATCTGCATAGGATTTGCTCATAGGCACGTATTTTTTGAAAACCAATCTGAGAGACAATGTAAAAGCATTTTATTTTGGCAAGCTGAATCACTATACCATGTTTATATGGGATGTATTTGGTGATGGAGATTATTATCATTTTTTTGGATCTAGAACTGTCATTTTAGAAAACACTTGGATATATAATTTCTGTCAATTTTGGAAATATATTTTCATTGAAACGTTAAAGGTAGAAACATTGAGTATAGATAGAGTGAGCATCTTCATGAGTTAGGCTTGATTTTGATTTTTTTTTAAATTTTTGTGTCTTTTTTAAGGTTTTATTTAAATTTCAGTTAGTTAACATACAGTGTAATAATAATTTCAGGTGTACAATATCGTGGTTCAGCACTTCCATACAACACATAGTACTCATCACAAGAGCACTCCTTAATATCCATCACTTGGTTAATCTATGCCCCCATCCACCTCCCCTCTGGTAACCCTGGGTTTCTTTTATAGTTAAGAGTCTGTTTCTTGGTTTGCCTCTCTCTTTCTCTCCCTTTGTGTTATTGAGATTTTTTTAGTTAGACATTTTTGTTAAAGTACAGAAATTATTGCCATTCATATTTTTAAATATGAAACGAATAATATCTTACTTCAATATAAAATTTTGATGTTAAATGTTGAGAACAGAGCAGGGAAACCGTTCACTGGCTTATATAACATCTTAATTTCCTAGGTATGTACAAATAACCCCTACACACACACACACACACACACACACACACACACACACACACACAGCATGCATACACACAGTAAATCTATTAACATTGGACAACTACGGCAAAAATTAATATATTACAAATAGAAGTGTTACAAGACCACTCCTATGTTTTCACTTGGTGTGTGTGGGGTTGTTATTAGGTAGTTGTGCACATGTGATCAGATCTTTTTTTTATACATAACTTGATAGATGTGCAGACATTTCTGTTATGTATTTGAATATATTTCACCTAAAATTAGAACACATAAACTTTTTTTAATGCTTGTAGATGTGAAATGGTAAAATAAGGTTCTATTGTTAAGTATGATTTCTAGAATGCTGTGTATGTAATTATTTATAAAACATTTGTTATTTCTAGATATATATCCATTGCTGACAAACATACTTTTAAATATACTTTTTAAAATCAATATAGTAATTAGTTTCTCTGCATGTTCAGTGGTGTGTTGTGAGGGCTATGGATGGAGGGAGTGGTGGATGTTTTCCAATTTCATCTATAATGTATGATTCTTTTGCTTCTTAACTATTCTTTTTGGTTTAAAGAAAGTGTGAACATCATGTATATGTTGCAGTCATGCTTTTGAGAAACTATAAGTTTGACATGTTTAACATTTGCAAATTATTCTAAGAATTCTATATGGGTGGCTCTTTGTGGTTTGTTAAACAGTGGTATTTGTAATTATAACTTTTGACTTAGGAAATATATAGAATTGTTGAACATGATAGAGGGTAGAAACAGTATTCTTTTGATACAGTTCACCTTTGTATAGGATTATATGGATTGCTGGAGTTGTTAAAGACAAATGACTTGAAAATTGAGTTAAAAGATTCTGAGCTATATTTTTGTTAACATTTGTGTGTGTTTATACACACGCACACACATGTATATAGTCAGGGAGAACAGAGTGGTTAAAAGTTTTGTCTCGCAATTTCATTTAGAAGAAAAATTAGACTGCGATAATTAAATTGTACCCATTTTATATGAACATTTCTGCTTAAGGGACATGTAGGTATATCTTATTTTCTCAGATGTACTTAGGTTGATGAAATTCATTTTTCTAAAGAACATTTTATAGAATCTAAATTACAAAATTCTGTGTTCATCTGTTATGTGGCAGTATGACAACTTTGTAAATAATGGGCAAGTGAAATATTTATTTTTAAACATTTAATATTTCTAGATGTACTGAGTGTCACAGTATAATGTAAATGTTTTCATTGTAAATGTGTTAGGATTATTGTATTTCAAAATCAGCTTGGCAGAGAAATGGATCATTGATATGCAGGCTCTTGGAGCTGTGCAACATTTATATCAATTTGGTTGTTAAGAGGAGAAATAGAAAAGATTGTGCATTATCCCATCCTCATAGTATAATAGTATGCCATTGTATAAGTACAAATTATATATTAAAAAACTTGTACCATGTAAATTCATTTGATGTTTCTGAATGTATCATAATGTATTTCATTAGGAGCTTCGTGATACATTTATGTATATATGTGTGTGTGTGTATATCTTTTATTTTTATGTTAAGACTATTTTTTAAAGCATATTTAGGTTCACAGCAAAATTGAGGGCAAGGTACAGAGATTTGCCATATAGCCCCTGAGCAACACATATATAATCCCCATCATTATCCACTCCGTACATGCATAATCACCACCATTATCAGTATCCCTCATCAGACTGGTATATTTGTTACTACTGACGAATTTTCATCGACATGTCATTATAACCCAAAGTCCATGGTTTGTTTTGGTTAACTCTTGGTGTTGTACATTTTGTTAAGTTTGGACGGATGTATAATGACCTGTATCCATCATGGTATTATACAGACTATTTTAATTGTCTAAAAATTCTCTGTGCTCTACCTATTCATCCCTCCCTCATATTTATTTTTATGGTTGTTGTTTACATTGGAGATATAAATGACTTTCTTAAAGAGATTTTATACTACCTCTTGGAACAATATACAGTTCTGTATGTGTTCCTTTGGTTGCATGACAATATTCAAGACAACTTTGTAAATAATAGGCAGATAGAATTTTTTTAATTTTTAACATCTAGTCTTTCTAGATGTGTAGAGTCTCACAAGGTATAATTTTGTAAATAATTCATTGTAAACTTTCATAGTCATTGTTATCAAGTATTGTAATAGCATTGCAATTGATAACAATTTTAGGTTTCTTGAACTATACATATTTTGGTATCTATTTATTGAGTTAGGGGGAGAATGTTAAAAGGGTGTACTTCCACTCTTGCGTACTCTAAAAGAAAATTTTACATTTTAATCACTGCTTAGTCCTTGTATTTATCATACACTATTATACATTAAAAATCCTAAGTCAGTTATTTTATAGCTGTATTGCTGAAAGGGCATTATGTGTTTTAATTATAGGAAATATGTTATGTAAGAAATTTTATTCTCTCTCTTCAAGCTATTCAGTTTCGTATTTAACTGGACTGCATGACAACATTCAAGACAACTTTGTAAATAACAGATGAATATATTTATAAATACCTAATTTTTCCAGATGCATGAGTTTCACATCATATACATTTATAAATATTTCATTGTCAAATACCATAAATTGTTTTTTTCTAAATACTTTGTCAGTGTAATAAGTAATTAATAATTGTTCTTTTAGTGTTATGTAACATTTTGATGTTTGTTGGTGGGTTTTTGGGCAGAGGGATAGACAGATTGCTTACTTTTTCTACAGATTGTTCCGTTCTCATGTAGAAGAAAGGATTAGATTTTATACTTACAAAATGAGTGAAAATACCCAGGATGTACTTTATCCTTAGAAAGAAGAAGGAAGACATGAGAAAGGGAATTGTGGTTTAAAATCACAGATATGTTAATTGTTAAAAGATACTTGTATTACTGGGTATTTACCCCAAAGACACAGATATAGTGAAAAGAAGGGCCATATGCACCCCAACGTTCATAGCAGCAACGTCCACAATAGCCAAACTGTGGCAAGAGCCGAGATGCCCTTCAACAGATGAATGGATAAAGAAGTTGTGGTCCATATATACAATGGAATATCACTCAGCCATCAGAAAGGATGAATACCCAACTTTTACATCCACATGGATGGGACTGGAGGAGATTATGCTAAGTGAAATAAGTCAATCAGAGAAAGTCCATTATCCTATGGTTTCACTTATTTGTGGAACATAAGGAATAGCAGGGAGGACATTAGGAGAAGGAAGGGAAAAATGAAGGGGGGAAATCAGAGGGAGAGATGAACCATGAGAGACTATGGACTCTGAGAAACAAACAGGGTTTTAGAGGGGAGGGGGGAGGGGGGAGGGGGGATTGGTTAGCCTGGTGATGGGTATTAAGGAGGGCACGTACTGCATGGAGCACTGGGTGTTACACGAAAACGATTGTGGATCACCCCATCAAAAACTAATGATGTATTGTATGGTGAATAACATAATAAAATTTTTAAAAAAAGATCAAAAAAATAAAAATGAGAAAAAATGTTTTAGAAATCTGCTATTTGAATTTTCAAAAGAAGAATTTAAATAGTCATCATGGATAAAATAAAAACTTATTTAAAAAAAGGACTTGTATTGCTAGGTAATTATTTTACTATGTTATAAAGATCTACTTATCACAAATTTGTATGTGTATGTGCATATACATATATAATATAAATGTTAAGCACCTGTATACAGTAAAATTAGTTTTAGGAGTATAAATCTGATGGTATTCTCATTCTCATTCATTAGCTTAGTGCTTTGCATTTTATTTTTTTGAAAATTATGGACATAGTATTTCGAATCTAAGCTTAAACATTTTATAATCCCACTTCATGGTATATCTAAGTGTATGTTATTTTTAATATAAAATTGTTAAGTAGCTCCATGTGTGTTTCCTCTTCTGTTACTATGTATATATACATCTAAATGAAAATAGAATTTCTGTGATTTTGAATATTTATTATTCTAAGAGCTTTTTGAAAATGTCCAGTGTGTAATTATATTTGTATGTTATGCAATAGTCAAATAAATGTCAAAAGTGTTCCATCTTAGTAGCCTGTAATAAATTATGAAAATTGCTTAGAAAGAAAAAGTATAAACGAAGATATAAATTCGTTTATTTTTTGAACAGCAATTTGACAATAATAGTTGAAATTCAAGTGTGTAAATATTTGAAGTGGTATAACTTGCTGCTGGGATTTTATCTATTCCAAGTCTCAAATTTACAATGAAGAAAGTATGTTATATATTGAGTATCAAATAATATTGATTCCTGATCAAATAATTGAGCATCTGAAATATAAGATCACAATGGTTGTATCTTTCATCATATGAATATAATTTAAACACTGGAAGATATTCTCATGTGAAAGGGTGTTTTAAGTGGATATTTTAAATTATTTCATTTTTTGAACAAATATCAACTAATAGTGTGTTTACAGAGGTGTGTCCATATGCCTCTCATTGTTCTAATGGAAATGGTAATATTTACTATTCCTGAGGAATGTAATTATCCTGACATGATTATAGAGTTAAGTAATGCTTACTCATCAGTGTTATTATATTGGCGATTATTTTAGCATTCTTAAGATTTTTCTACATGTGTAAGTTAAATGGTAAAACATTGTTAGTTATCTGTATATTGCTACCTGACAATCTGAAATAAATATATGAATTGTTGAAAGTTGTCTGGAAGATCATATGGCAAAAATTTAACATTACTGTGTAGAGAGTTGGGAATGGAAGAACTGCATCTGCTTTCTGCATTGAAATTTTAAAGATATTTCAAAAGGAACATTAAAACAACAAAAGGGAATTTTAAAGATACAACCAAGTTGTGCCTCTCTGTATCCTTGCCTGTTGACATCTTGGGAGTATTGGGCTGTTATATCCAATTTTGTATTCCCAGTGGCCATTCTGAATAGTTTGTGAGTGATCACGAAGAACGTGTAATTTAGAAACTCTAGTACAGCAGAGAGTTATACACACTGAAACAGTATTGTGGGATCCAAGAAGAGAGTATGGGAGAAGATGGGATTTGAGGTAGGTGCTAAACAATTAGATTTGAGTTTACAATCACATGAATGATTAAAATAAGTCATTGAAACTTTCTGTAAAGGGTAAATTTTCATAATGCATTGTCATATTTCTGGTTACTGACTAGATCGCGTTGTTTGAGGGAGAGTATTGGAGTAAGTTACTCTTAATGGGAGTAATTGGAGAATGGATTCTTTACTTTCTTATATGGTAGTTGAGTCTGTCAGGATTTCAAGTAGGTCCTTACATTTTTTAATATATTCAGAATAAACATGAGAAACATTTCAATAAATTTGTGTTAAATATTCACTGATAAGGTAAGAAAAATTTTTAAAAGTTACTGTGCTATTAACTGCTTGTTTATCTCCATTCGCTATTCCTGATAATTCTGAAGTCATCCTAACTTGTGTGTCCTGGTGTCCCATTTGTAACTGGCTACATTGTATACTTAATTATCAGATGTACATGATGAAAAGAAGAGATTTATAATAACCTGAGGACAGCTGACATCAGGAACATTCCTCATGCTATGGACTTCCTCAATTTAAAAGTCTTATCTGGGAACCACAGGTAAGAAGGTACTGGATAAAGAAGTGCTGTTTTAGGACAAGGCTTTGTCTAGGCTCAGGAAAATATCACGGGTGCAGACTTTGGAATATTCAACCATGTCTGAGAATTAGAAAATTAATTCTTTCCAAAGATAATTTTACTGAAATAGAGATGTGGAGGATATGTGGAATGTAGGAGATTATTTGTGTATTCTTTCAATTAATTACCTTATTTATAATCAAATACAGTAACATAAGTAATGTTATAAAGAAAGTGATCAATTGTTCATTAGCTGGGCAGAAAGAATTTTTGCAAGTAAATTTCATAGTGTGTTAAAGGGAGAAGTTCATGGAAATTGAAAGAAAAAGGGGAACACTCTTGGACTGTTGGTGGGTTGGACTGTTGGTGGGAATGCAAACTGGTGCAGCCACTGTGGAAAAGTGTGTGGAGATTCCTCAAAAAGTTAAAAATATGGTTCAGCAATTGAACCATGAGGCATTTATGTAGAGAATACAAAAATACTAATCCAGAGGGATACCTGCACCCCAGTGTTTATAGCAGCATTATCTACAATTGCCAAACTATGAAAATAGCCCAAGTGTCCATCAACTGATGAATGGATAAGGAAGAAGTGGTAAATAAACAATGGAATGTTAATCAGCCATAAAATAAGAATGAGACCTTGCCATTTGCAGTGAGGTAGATTGCAGTCATATATTTGTCAATAAGGAAAGACAAATGCCATATGATCTCACTCATGGGGAATTTAAGAAACAAAACAAACTAGCAAAGGGAAGAAAGAGACAGAGGCAAACCAAGAAACAGAGTCTTAAGTAAAGCGAACAAACTGATGGTCACCAGGGGGAAGTAGGTAAGAGGAATGGATGAAATAGGCGATGGGGATTATGGAGGGCAGTTGTGATGAGCAAGTGGTGTTGTATGGAAGGGTTGAATCACTAAACGGTACATCTGAAACTAGTAGTACACTGTATGCTACTAACTGGAATTTAAATAAAAACTTAAAAATATTGGTAAAGTAATGGCTGATGTTGGAGAGTTACATCAGCTGTGGGATTGATTGATGAGGTATTGTTTCTAAGCATTAAGAGAAATTTATAACAAAGTTCAAGATGAGCTTCCACTTATCTGCTGCTTTAGATATTCTATGACATTGGTGTATATCTTACCTTACAATGTTTCTTTTTTCTTCCTATCAGGAGATGATAGTTCCATGAATACACACTTCTGCCCTCTTTGTTCATAATTGCAAGAATTGGTATCACCAGACCTCTCATTGACAGTATTATTCATTCATGTGTTCTTCACCTCCGATATCCGGTCCCAGGAATACCCCTTGGCGAAATTATTGTAAGAACAGATAAGTGCTCATTTGATTCAGGGAGGGACACTGTGGTTAGACAGGAGTTAATTTTATGACTCTTTAAGATTAATGAATTTTTGGTGGCAGCTAGTGGGGAATGAGATCTGTTCAGGTTACATATTGCTGAGTAATAAATAATCCTCAAACTTGGTGGCATAAAGCTTCTATTGTGTTGTTATTTAATGAATTCTGTGTGTGAAGATTTCTGACAGTGCCAGAATGTGGAATCAGGTGGGAAGAACCAGTGTTAACAATGATTCAAACAGCTAAGGGCTGGAATCATCTGGACCCTCCTTCACGCATATGTTTTGTGCTTGGTTTGGGATGACTTGGAAGGCTGGGCTTAGATTAGAGCACCTTTACATGAGTTTACCCAGAGGAAGTATCATAAAAATGAGTATTAGAAGAGAACCTTGGGAAAGTGGCATGTGGCCTTTGTGAACGAAAATTAGAAGTCATGTAGTACCAATTCTGCCATATTTTGTTGGCTAACATTGTTATATGACCACCCAGAATTCTAGTAGAGATCCCATCTCATGGTGGGGTAGGGCCAAGGTAACTGCTGACCTGTAGTTTCATATAAGACCAGATAAAAGAAGGCACAGTAGTTAAGACCTACAGCTGTGGAACTTTAGAATTTTATTTTTTTTTAAATTTTGGGATCCATTCACAATATTCCTATCAAATCATATATCTATCTTTATGAGTTCAATTAATTTTGAGAATCTCACTTCTCACACATTTTGAATTGCGGATATTTTTCAACAAATATCTTACACATTGTCTGGCATAGAGTAAAGTTTTACTGAATTGTTTTGTGACTTTGGGAATAAATTACGCAAAAGATAAATTGGAGAAAAAAAATTACATTTTTGGGATTAAGTGAGTTAGAGGAATGCAAAAGAGGGAAGAGCCCAGGTGCGCTAAGCTGATGCTGAAATATGTAATCTTAGAAGTAACTAAAACAGTGAACTATAGGAAGTGTGAAAGGGAGCAGTTGTTAAGGAAACCATTGATGTTATAGCAAATAGTGTATCCCAGCTCCTGATGGATCAAGAGTTTTAGGATTCTCATTTTTCTTTCTTTTCCCACTGTGCCCCTCTAGAAGGTTAATTCACGGGATATGAGGCCAAGCGTGAATGCAGACGAATTCCTTAGACATTGTTTTTCAGAGAGCCTTGGCTGCCTACCTGTTGATCCCAGAATAACCTTAAAGGTGAAGACTTTATTCCTTAGGATTAATCATGACTAAATAGAAGATTAAGGACTTCTTGGGGGAAGTGCCTACTCAACAGTTTTGTGGTAGCCAGCTGGAATAATGGGTTAAGATCTAAATCTATTCTGAAGTTCCATTGTAGCATCTATATCTTTAGTATAGTTACCATTTTTTCTCATCGAATGGACTGAGGTCTCTTTCTTATTTTTTTTGGAACTTTTTGGCATTGCTGTCCTGTTTCTTGTACAGAAATGCGTATAGATTACATGAAATAATTCTATATGTGAATAAGCAATCTAGAGATACAAGCAACCATTCAAATACATAGTTGAACAGAGACATAACATGAGAATTATCAGGGTATGAGAAGAAAGAACTGGCTTTTTTTAAAGTTGACATGCTATGTTACATTAGCTTCAGGTGTATCAGTAGTGAATAGTGATGGTGAATCGCAATGGTCAACACAATAAGTGTAGTTACTATCTCTAGCCTTATTAGAAATTCAAAATCTGATCCATCTATTATTTTTTCACAATTAAATGGCTGTTGCATTTCATTATACCTAATTTTATTAGCTCCTACTGATAATTGTGTAAAAGTGTTGTTTCTAACTTTTAGCCATTTCCTAATGTGTTCTCTCAGGTGATGACTTAACAGAAAACTGATGCTATTGCTTCTGTCACCATCTTCAAATCCAAAAGACAGTCTTCATAATGTATGGAGACTTCTGTTTCATGTGTTGAAGTGGCTATTCCTCACAGATCAGAAAAACTGGACTGAGAAAGCTCAAGTTTGAAAGTCCTAAAGAGTGTCATTGGAGGGAATTGTAACCAGGCATGTTGAATGTTTTCATTATTGACACTGGACTAAATCTCAGGAGCTTGAATGTGGGAGATGTTATTATACAGAAATGCTCAGGATGGTGTGATTGCAAGGCTTCATTTGAGTGTTCCCATAAGTATAAAGTGCATATATTTATAATTTTCACTTACTACAGGGTAAATTTAAAATTGATAAAAAAATTACCTTTTTCCATATTTCAAAAGGCACAGAAATTTGTGAAGGATAGTATTTTTTACTTAAATGCTTTTTTCCCCTCCTAATTCTACTTCCCAACATTATCTACTGTTAATGGAGTTTTGTGCATATGCTTTTGGGGTATATTGATGAACAAATGGTTACGCTAGTAGTCTTTTGGATACATATATTAGCTACAAATTTTCTAGGCAGTTACATGCTTTATATAGAAATAATTTTTAATTTCTCTGGCTAATTTGTTGAAAACAGTCTTAGCATTTCCACCTTATTGGAATTAAGTATATCCAAAATTTATATTCTGAGTCAACAGTAGAAATTTTCCCCAAATGGTATAAATTGTCCTCATCAATCTTGTCTCCCACTATTTGTTTATGAGACTTCTGTTTTCTTGAACAGTAGAAACATATTTCAATATTTTAATCTTTGAAAATGTGGTATTACAAAAAAATTGCTTTCCTTCCCTTACTGTTCAGTTCAGTCATCTTCATATGTCCTTAAACCTTACTAGTCACTTACTTCGTTTTCCTCTGTGGGTTTTTTTTTTTTTTCATTTCCCTCAGAATATTAGTATTTTTGGTACTGGTTTCTAAAATATCATATATGACTAAGGATGTTAAACATTTGCCATGCATTGCTAATGAAATACCATGTGGTTCTCATCACCGTTTACTGTGATGTTTTACTTTTTGGTTGTACAGAAGTTGTGTATTCAAATATAATAATGTTCTGCTTTATGCCTTTTGAGTTTTGTGTTTTTATTCAAAAACGTGTACATCACTCATGCATTCTTTGTATTTTCTTCCATTTTTTGGTCAGTTAATTCTGTCATTTTATTTTTTCCATTAATCATTACTGTGGTTTTAAAGCATTATCTACTCAAATGATTTACCTTGACTTAAGGTTATTTAGGAATTCCCGCATATAATCAACTGCATTTCTCTGTTTTCCTTACTGTCTATTGATACTTTAAAATTATTGATGATTTTTAGCCTATTCCATTGAGATCTATCTCATTTCTCTTCTTTTTTTCAGAATATCCCCTGTCTATAGTCACATTTTTTTCTCTCAATTGATGCTTAAAATTATTTTGCAAGTTGGAAAAAAATGCAATTTTACTTTCATTTGCACCAAATTTAATAGATTAATTAGGAGAGAATAGATCTCTTTAAAATTGAGTCATCTTATCCAACTGCAAGGTACGTCATTCTATTTTTAATCAAATTGTTATGTTGGAAAACTGCTGGTGTAATTTTTTTATTCAGTCCCAGTCATTTCATAGTTTTGTTAATGTAGTGATGGGGATTGTACAACTACTTTATTTTCTTACTTATATATGAGATATTTTTGTTTACTTTTCTAGTTACATTTCATTAAAATTCCAAAATTTTGCTTTTCTTTTTTAATTAATGGTTCTTACAGAATTTATGGAAGAAGAAATGGCCCTTGCTTATTTGACAGTGAATATTAATCCTATTAGTTTAAGTTTCGTTTAGTTAAGGGTCATTTTAGGTAACTTTCCTATCTTTACTGGGCATTTTTGGCAAAATTTGTTGACAGTTTAATAAAATGATTTGTATTTGTCATGTATTATAGGTGATCTTAGTTGCCATTATAATTATTGGTTAGGCTAAAAACTAACTTTTCCTAAAAATGAACATTCTTGAACTATATTTTTTTGTATGTGTGAATGTGCGTTTCTATTTGTTTGTGTATGTATATTCATAAACATTTCCCTATTATAATTGTTAAAATTTTATTTGCAATTTCTGAAAATACCCTAAATAAACAGCTTCTATTCTGTTTTTGTCAGGTTTTTGTATTTGGTGTACCTGCTCTACCAAAATGTTTGGAGTGTTACTTTTTATAGCCTGGAAACAAGAAGTACTAACAATAATTTTTTAATTTTTATTTTCAAATAACTTTTGGATTACAAAAATGTATATTGTTCTCTACCTTCTTATATTAACATCGTTCATTTGTATTACACAGTTATCTAAGCCAGGAAATTGGTATACTCCTGTTAACTGATCTTTTTATAATCCATGATTGAAAGTGGAATCCCACATTGCATCTAGTTGTCATAGTCTCCTTAATGTCCCTTTTCTTGGGGCACTTGCCCAGTGTTCTTTGATTTTTCATAATTTTGATGTTTTTGAAGAATCTACAAAATATCTAACTATTGATATTACTCCTTATGGGTTTGTGTGATTTTTGTCATTGAAATTTCGGTTGTGCATAAGATTACTACAGAAATGGTACTCCCTTCTGAATTCATCACTAGAGATCACATACTGTTGATGTACCTTGTGACTAGCAATGTTACTTTGATTACATAGTGCTATATAATAAGTATTCTTAGGGGAAGATACTACAAATACTGTTAATACTTTTATCTGTAAATTTTAGACTGTATTGTTGCCTGCAATAATTAATACACGGTGTTTCACAAATTGTAATTTTTTTGACAAAAGACTTTTTTCTTAGTTTCAGAAGTAGAGCTAGTGATTCATCAGTTGCATGTAACACCCAGTGCTCTCATTACATCATGTGTCCTCCTTAATGCCCATCACCCAGTTACCCCATCCCCCCACCCAACTCCCCTCCAGCAACTTGTTGTCTAGAGTTAAGAGTCTCTTACGGATTGTCTCCCACCATGATTTTGTCTTACTTGAATTATGTGTCTGTTTCTGTGCCCCTACCATACTGTCTTGATGATGACAGCTTTGTAATAGAGCTTGAAGGCTGGAATTGTGATGCCACTAGCTTTGGTTTTCTTATTCAATATTCCTTTGGTTATCTGTGGTCTTTTCTGGTTCCATACAAATTTTAGGATTGTTTGTTCCAGGTCTGTGAAAAAACTTGATGGTATTGTAATAGGAATTGCATTGAATGTTTAGATTGCTCTAGGTAGCATAGACATTTTAACAATATTTGTTCTTCCAATCCATGTGCATGGAACATTTTTCCATTTTCTTGTGTCTTCCTCAATTTCTTTTATAACTTCTGTATTTTCTTAGAGTATAGACCATTTACCTCTTTGGTTTATGTTTATTCCTAGGTATCTTATGGGTTTTGGTGCAATTTGTAAATGGGATCAATTCCTTAATTTCTTTCTTCAGTCTTGTTCGTGTATAGAAATGCAACTGATACATGTGCATTGATTTTGTATCTTGCAACTTTGCTGGATTCATGTATGAGTTTTAGCAATTCTGGGATGGGGTCTTTTGGGTTTTCCACTAGAGGGTCATGTCATCTGCGAAGAATGAGATGAGTCTTTTGTGCTCATTTGGATGCCTTCTATTTCTTTTTGTTGTCTGATTGCTGAGGCTAGGACTTCAAGCACTGTGTTGGAACAAGAGTGGTGATAGCCACTGTGTTCCTGACCTAAGGGGAAAAGCTCTCAGTTTTTCAAAAACCACATTGAGAATGATATTTGCTGTGGGCTTTTTCTATATGGCTTTTATGATACTGAGGTATGTTCCCTCTGTCCCTAACCTGTGGAGAGTTAAATCATGAAAGCACGCTGTATTTGTCAAATGTTTTTTTTTTTTTAAGATTTTATTTATTTGACAGAGAGAGAGAGCGCGAGAGAGGGAACACAAGCAGGGGGAGTGGGAGAGGGAGAAGCTGGCTTCCCGCTGGGCAGGGAGCCCAATGCTCAATCCCAGGACCCTGTGATCATGACCTGAGCCGAAGGCAGACGCTTAATGACTGAGCCACACAGGTGCCCTCAAATGCTTTTTCTGCATTTGTTGAGAGGATCATATTTTTTTATTTATGTATTGTATCACATTGATTTTGCTGATGTTGAACCTTCCCTTACAGCCCAGGAATAAATCCCACTTGTTCATGGTGAATGATCTTTTTAATGTACTGTTGGGTCCTACTGGCTAGTATTTTGGTGAGAATTTTTGCATCCATGTTATCAGGGGTATTGGTCTATAATTCTCCTTTTTGTTGGGGTCTTTGTTTGATTTTGGATTCAAGGTAATGCTGGCCTCATAGGATGGGTTTGGAAGATTTCCCTCCATTTCAATTTTTTGAAACAGCTACAGAAGAATAGGTATTATTTCTTTTTTAAATGTCTGGTAAAATTCCCCTGGGAAGTCATCTGGCCTTGGACTCTTGTTTGTTGGGAGATTTTTGATTACTTCAGTTGTTTTGCTGGGTATAGGTCTGTTCAGGTTTTCTATTTCTTCCTGTTTCAGTTTTGGTAGTTTATACATTTCTAGGAATGCATCCATTTCTTCCACATTGCTTAATTTGTTGGCATATAGTTGCTCATAATATGTTCCTATTGTTTGTATTTCTGTGGTGTTGGTTGTGATCTCTCCTCTTTCATTATTTTTTTTATCTGGGTCGTTTCTCTTTTTCTTTTGATGAGTCTGGCCAGGGGATTATTGATCTTACTAATTCTTTCAAAGAACCAGTTCCTAGTTTTTTGATCTGTTCTACTGTTCTTTTGGTTTCTATTTCATTGATTTCTGCTCTAATCTTTTTAAATTCTCTTCTCCTGCTAGGTTTAGGCTTTATTTGCTGTACTTTCTACAGCTCCTTTAGGTGTAAGGTTAGGTTGTGTATTTGAGACGTCTCCTTTCTTGTTTCTTGAGAAATCCTTCTTTGTTATATTCTTCCCGCTTAGGACTGCCTTTGCTGCATCCTAAGGTTTTGAACAGTTGTGTTTTCATTTTCATTTGTTTCCATGATTTTTTTAAATTCTTCTTTAATTTCCTGGTTGACCCATCCATTTCCTGGTAGGATGCTCTTTAACCTCCATGTATTTGAGTTCTTTCCAAATTTTCTCTTGTGATTGAGTTCTAGGTTCAAAGCATTGTGGTCTGAAAATATGCAAGGGATGATCCCAATCTTTTGGTACCTGTTGAGACCTGATATGTGACCCAGTATGTGATCTATTCTGGAGAATGTTCCATGTGCACTTGAGAAGAATATGTTCTGCTGCTTTAGGATGGAATGCTCTGAATATATCTGTGAAGGTCCTCTGGTCCAACGTGTCATTCAAAGCCTTTGTTTCCTTGTTGATCTTCTGCGTGGATGATCCGTCATTTTATTGCATTATCCATGCGTTTCTTTAATTTTGTTATTAGTTGGTTTCTGTATTTGGTTGCTCCCATGTTAGGGCATAAATATTTACAATTATTAGATCTTCTTTTTTTTTTTTAAGATTTATTTATTTATTTGAGAGAGAGAGAATGAGAGAGAGAGAGAGAGTACATGAGAGGGGGGAGGGTCAGAGGGAGAAGCAGGCTCCCTTACTGAGCAGGGAGCCGGATGTGGGACTCGATCCCGGGACTCCGGGATCATGACCTGAGCCGAAGGCAGTCGCTTAACCAACTGAGCCACCCAGGCGCCCCACTGAGCCACCCAGGCGCCCCTAGATCTTCTTGTTTTATAGATTCCTTTATTATGGTATTGTGTCCTTCCTCATCTCTTATTACATTGTTTGGTTTAAAATTTAATTTGTCTGATACAAGGATTTCTACCCCAGCTTCCTTTTGATGTCAGTTAGCATGATAAATGTTTTCCACCCCCTGACTTTCAACTGGACATGTCTTTGGGTCTAAAATGAGTCTGTTGTAGAGAGCATATCATTGGGGTCTTGCTTTTTTATCCAATCTGATACCTTGTGTGTTTTGGTTTGGGCAGTTAGCCCATTTACATTGAGTAACTACTGAAAGATACGAATTTCTGCCATTATATTACTTATACAGTCACCATTTCTGTATATTTTCTCTGTTCCTTTCTAGTCTATGTTAACTTTGGGCTCTTCGCTTAAAGGATCCCTTTTAATATTTCTTGTAGGGCTTGTTTAGTGATCACATATTCTTTTAGTTTCTGTTTGTCCTGGAAGCTTTTTATCTCTCCTTCTATTTTGAATGATATTCCAGGTTGATAATGTATTCTTGGCCACATAATTTTTCTCATTTAGCACCTTGATTATATCATACCAGTCCTTTCTGGCCTGCCAGTCTCTGGATAAGCCTGTTGCCAGTCTAAGGTTTCTATCCTTCTGTGTTACAGACCTCATGTCCCAAGCTGCTTTCAGGATTTTCTCTTTGTCTCTGAGATTTGCAAGTGTCACTATTACATGTCAAGGTGTTAACCTATTTTTATTGATTTTGAGGGGTTTCTCTGTGATTCTGGACGTGAATTTTTTTTTTCCTTCCCCAGGTTAGAG